GTTAGATTTCTGTAAATCAGATGGAAGAAACTGGGGGCAGGTTAAGAATGATATTCCATAAAGTTCAACATACAATTCAGCATCTCTGACAACAGCTACTCCCCCAGTCATTAATTTTGTCTTTGGGTCATATTTTGGAGGTTTAAAATCAGTTATGCTATAACCATATTTCTTAAAATGTTCAATTGTCTCTCTTTGGCCAAATGTTTTCATATCTGAAGAGAGAACAGCTAGATCTCCATCTAYATCCCAAGGAAGAAGTCCATCATATTTGACAATTCCTAAAACTGAACCAGTGTCGAGTTCAAATGAAATATTATTCTTGTCAGAAAATGTCTGTATAACTCGAATAATCTCAGCATACCGTTCTTGGCAGCATACTGGTAATATAAAAGATTTTGATAAATCCTTGGTGCATTTTATGTCAATGTCTTTACATGAGAAGGAGTGTTTTACACCAACCGGAAGCAACACTCGATTCAGTTCCCACTTCCTGGCTAATTCCATCCATACATTTCTGTCTTTTCGTTTCGCAAATGTAGAATAATCTGTTGTAAAGTACATAGCATCTGGACAGCCCATCAAAAGGTGGCCACTCTTAATTAATCCAASAAAGAGWTCCTCAAATATRACTTCATCTTGAAGAGTTGTATCAAAATTTAACAAAGCCTTCTTGGCAACAAAAGGGCCTTGCAAGTAGTCACAAAACATGCATTCATTYCTGGAATAGAAATACCCCTCTTGATATTCTAAAACATAGTTCTTTAGGGTTGTCTGGAAGCATCCCATTTGCCAGTGACCAGATAGGTTGCGGAAAGACCCACCAGCAAYACCAACTTTAGGGATTTCACTGACAACACGAATCTGCCTCTCAAGCTGACAAAGCCATGAAAAGTGAACMACATCTCTTGCTATGACTACATAAGGTGTAGAAGCSTTAGAAATCAACAAGTTCCAAGYWGTTGCCGAACGTTGAGCATTACTGATCATAACTACATCCACGTTCTTGTATCCCTTGGAATGCTCTTTCAGATCATTACTTCTTGTTGCTAARTAAACTTGTACAGTTGGATATGTGTCTGAAATACCTTTTAAAACATTCTTTACATGTTTTTCATCTTGTTGTGAATATGCTATAGTATTAATAAGGATTGTTATAAGGGATCTGATTGGTTTGGCATCAGTACARTTTATCATTGYCCAACCCTTTTCATAATATGGATAACCTTCCTTTGCCCCCTTGTATATTTCTGGACAAACCTCAACCTTTGTTACCTCTGTTTTCTTTGTCGAWGAACTTAATTTGATTCTTTCATCCAAGCGATGAATAATTTCTTCCAGCTTGAGGATAGTTTTCATATTTGGTGATTTTCCATCGTTCATGTCAGCCCATAGCTGTTGGTGTATTTCCTTRAGGTCTTTGGCGATTCCTTGCTTAAACAAAACCACATCATACCTATTGGAAATAACAAACTACTCCTCAGTAATAGTAAAAAAAATTACACTGCACAGATGTAATCCAGTGGCAGATCCAGGATTTTAAAAAGGGAATTCCAAAATGGCCGCCACACTGTTAAGCTGATAAGATTGGCTTCGCAAAAAGGGGGATTTCAATTTCATTCTACTAAGTGTAAAGAGCATGATTGGCTTCACAAGATCTTGGATCCACCACTACACACCTTTCACATTYATCTTAATGTGGTGTAAGTCAGTCCTTAGATAGCCGTAGGAAATAATCTCATAATTAGTGAACAGGAATGAGAATCTACGAGTAAAAATGACTTGAAACTCGATAAAAGCCTACTACGAGGAAATGAAGGTAGTCAGTTAAGACGTCAGTCAGTCACCACCAACAACAGTCTTTCTCAAGACTACACTCACCCGGCCGATCACAGCAAACTCGTATTTATCATACGAATCTTGTTTAATTTCTCAATACAAGCTTACCTTTTAAGATATGGAGCYACAACTAGCAATATCGACAATAAGAAACCAAGAGAAAGAATATAACGATTAAAGAGCCAGGAAAAACTGCGAWGGCGACAGCTYGTACRAATCCTACTAAACATCATTSYCGTTCACCATGTTGTACTGRGCTCTAACTCTGCTCGTTTTGACCACAGGGAGCCCAATTTTGAAAAAAGTGCTAGATAAAAGCGAACAATCTGCATACTATTTATTGGTAAATTTGGGTCGAAGACCAATCCATTTTGCTAAATAATATACAAGCGATAATCAAGAAAAACACAGTAAAATTTTACTGTACAACGCGGAAAACTTCTTGTAGTTTCAAATTRTGATGTGAATTTTCCTTTTTCTTTGCACTCCTTAGTCGTGTATATGTAGAAGCGCGTTTTCAAGGAAAGAAACGTTCAGCGCCAATCATTCATCAGTCCTACAACTTTCAAGACGCTATCACCGTATTTTTACTGCAATGAATTCCCCCGCGGAAGGAAAAACATGACCAAAATGATSCATGGGAAGTGGAGTAATTTTTTGGAAAACTCTTCTCTTTTCTATTTAAAAAAAAAATCTCTTTTAAAATATCACGAAAAATAGTTTTTCATTCACTGCWGAAAACTGTCCACATTGCTGTGCAATGGGAAACATTGGGTTTATTCCTGTTGTCTCGCTCGTGATCGTCGTGTTCTGTTTAAGATATATTATAGAATATACGCGTTTAAGTGTCATCCTGTTCTTGACTAAGTCTGGCTACATATCAAACAAATGTCGATTCACTTTTCGAATGATATGATAACCTATCAAAAAAATATRTAATTTAAACTTGGTTATTTGTCCTCAAGCCTCAAATGTCAGCCATTGAACTGCTAGTGATATGAAGTCGATGATGTCTTTTATATTATTAGTTGGCAAATGTCCAGCCATAAGAGGAACACTAGGACAGATATAGAAAGTACGGAAATATTGGCCGCGAGGCTCGTAATTCCTGAAACTAAATGAAGAAATGAATCATATTAGTAATAATATAATAAACCTGACGTCGACTTGTCTTGGTTCAAATAGCTTTGGTGCAGACTTTTGACAGAACTAGTACCTTTCCTACCAACATTCTCAGCCAAGTCGCTTTTTTTTTCTTGTCTTGGACGCACAAGTGGCGGCCGCACTCAGGAAGAAGACAAAAAAAAATCTGAGTTTGGAGGGGCGAAAAGGTGTATCTTAAATGATTAGATTTTAATTATTATACCCAGTTGTCTTCGAGGACTTCGGAAGGCTAGAGGAGGAGCATTTCTGTGCGCATTACTACTGCCAACGCGCTTTCATTAGGTGGACTACCTGTGGTAAGGTTTGGTCAATATGRCTGACATATCGTTTGGGTATTCAAAATATATTTCAGCTCTCGGTTGAGTATTCTTACCTTTTTTTAACGACGATTCATGTAGAACTTCATACTTGACCATAAACCCTGTTTCCTTTCTGCTAAGTTGCTGGTATTTATCAGACACAAATCTAACAAAAAGATTTCTTCCACCGGAAATGACAGGTCGAGGCACATTTGAAGTAATGCATAATTTCTTCAKAAATGTCTGGGTTCTTTTCGTTGCTGCATCAGTGACTTCGATATAATCTTTACAGTTAAAGTCGAAATAGAGTGGGGTCATAAAAGTCAGTTTGACTCGACTGTGGAGAGGTCCTTTGATGGCCCATAAGCAATCCATCTGTCCAGGGTAGGGTAAGGGAAATCTTGGGCTGGTTATAACGCCTGATGAATTCTTTAGTAGATTGTAGCTGAAGCAGTGATCTGTTGGTTAGATATTTGTATTGTTTGTATGTGTWAGCATATCTTATTCAGTTCTTTGTATTCTATATTTAGGTGTTGGTTTATATGGACGTCTCAACTAAAAACTGTATGAAAAACTGTATTTTCCTTAATATCCTTTTTTGTCTGTCTTTCCTTATCATTCTTTCCTTTTTTTTCTCTTTTTTTCTTTCCCACTTCCAATCGTTTCTTTTCTACTATGCATTTTTAACTCCTCTTTCCATTTCATAATCCATTYCATTCCATTCCATCGTTCAGTCTCAGTCTCGGGCGATAGTTCCAAGACCCTTTAGTAAACGTACGGKKGCTAAGGGACATTCAACAAGWTAGAGTTGCTGCAAATAAGAAACGAGTTTCTGCAGTTAAGAAACGAATTGCTGCATSTTAGTCGAGTTGCTGCATGTAAAACGATAAATGCAACGCGCGCGAAGCAGTTTGCCGATTAGGACTGAGTTCTCTAGCTTAGCTTAATTTTTATGATAGGTAAATTTAATTTCTATTTGACATATTTGTCTTTCCTCTGCACAGAATACGAATGACTCTCTGCGTTTGGTGATTAGAAAAATTGCTAATAATGACAGACTGTCCGGCAGTTTTTTTAGTTTTTGTGTAGAAATGCTACAGCGCTCTTTTTCTTAAAGATGCATTCGACGATAGTCACGATAGCTCTGAACAGATACGAGGGGAGTTTGGTGCTTTGGGGAAGTAGTGAATACGAACGACTCTCTTCCGTCAGTTCAAAATGCCTGGCAGTTTTAAATTTTCG